ATGTGATGGAGAATACGTGGTTGAAAATGAAGGAAAAGTTATTGATGTGATGAAAAATATTATTTTATTGAAGAATGTGTGGTTGAAAATGAGTAGAAGAATGAGAATGAAAAAAAATAATGTGGGTCAAACAGGGGCTTAAAGTCAATGCACAACATCCCGCGTGTGTGGCACAGAGGTTCTGCTGTCTATGCACTAACCTCCATGCAGATTGGAACGTATTCCTTGTGCACTTTCAGGATAACAGCCTTGTTGCTTGTCTCAATACAAAAGGTAACCCAGTTCAAGGTCAATGACCTTACAAGAGGAACCTTATTTTTTGTTGCTGTCTTAACATCTGCAACAAAAGAATTTTTATAATCAGCAAAGCTTCCTGGTCTTTTTGTACGAGAAAATCAAAATCAAATACCCAAAAATTGGCACCTTCTTCACTTTGTTGCCAACTTAAACCACAATGTCATTGAAAATGAAATAAAAATGTAACACAGCCATTAATCAGAACAACAGTACCTCGATATATATATCATACAAATAGAATCAGCAAATTATATAAAGGGTCTGTTTGATGTAGATTGTTTAAGAATAGATTTTGTTATATTTTTGGAGAATTGTGATTAAAAAGTAGAGAAAAGTTATGGGTCCGCCTGCAAAATTATTTTATTGGGTGATTGTGTTGTTGAAAATGCCTTTGGGGAAAAATGAAATTTTAAAGAATTTGTACCTAACAGGGGAAAATATCGCTATTTTCAAGATTAAACCAACAGTGGTCATAATGCAAGCAAGCATAGCCAAGTAAATTACAGGATACCATGGTAAAATAATAAATAAGTGGAAGGTAAGAGTTCAACAAAAAGAATAGACAAAATAAGCGAAAACCATATATACGCCGAATGTCAAAGAGCAATGCCGGAGAAATAGTGCAACAACTGAGAGTTTCAAAGTAGCAAGAGAAAAAGTTTTGCAATTATCAAAACAATCAAAGATCAACAAATCTCAGAAAAGCTTGAGTATATTTGAATGGCACATAAGAGATCACTTAAGAAAACCACAAAGCACTTGCATGAATGTGGTATGGAACAAAAGAATAAGAACAAAAAACCTTCCTTCAACAATGTCAGCAAGATTTAAGCATCCCGACTTGTGCATTGCCTGAAGAGTTTGAGTAAGCGCCTCAATCGAAGTAGGTTTCTTCTCTTTAAGTTTTTCCTGTACCATTACAAAATCAACAAAGAACTAGCTGCAAGGCCAACTTTTGAGAGAAATTTAATAACAATAGTTCCATTAAGAAGTGTATATATATAAGACACTCGATAGCTAAACATATTGTAAATTCATGACATAGGTACATTCATGCCAAAAGTAGTGACCACATAAATAGCAGAATTATAGGTTTCACAAAGCTTCAGGCTAGTGTATGTAGGTGAGTTTCTAAATTCTTCCTTTTAGGTCTGTCAGTATCCATCAAAAGGGGGTCAGTATATGGAGAAATGTATCCTTCATAATACTTGATTCATGACAGAATCAAGGGTTGGATCGTAGGCCAATAATGATATAGTGACTGTTTGATTCCACCACAATGTTGAGAGGTAGATGAAGCTTTAACACCACCAAAAACTCCATCCTCTCCACATATATTATCAATTATGCTAACAAATCAAATTGGTCAATGTCGGTCACAACTGTATTTTTGCAAGTATATCAACCACCAAGCCACTTGTACAAATTGATATCGTTCGAAAATTCAAGTACAGAGATGTACTAACCAGCAATACAGGCAATAAGAAGCGAGACTTTCCTGAGAAGTCAGTTCTCAGACCAGTGGCAACCACCAAGCCACTTATACAAATTGATATCGTTCGAAAATTCAGAAGTATAGAGTATGTACTAACCAGCAATACAGGCAATAAGAAGCGAGAATTTCCTGAGAAATGAGTTCTCAGGCCAGTGGCAAGATTTCCAATTGCTTGGATTGCTTCAACTGCTACAGCAATGTTCACGTCTGTAATAAGCTGCGAACTCCAAAAAGATAACGTAATCACTACTTGGATAAAGTCTTTTAAATTGATAGCCAAAAAAATAAACCTATGATATTACTGAAATGAAGATAAGGGTGAAAGAGTTGCACAAGCATGGAAAAGATATGCTCAGGGTCAAGCTTCCCCGATGTTAGTGTTGTACTAATATATTGTGCCTGACAAGATAATACCACGAAATAGAGTGACCATTGAACTACTGGGAACCTATCAGCAATAGAAGAATAAATTTAGCAGAGCAAATTGAGAAGTTGGCCCAATATCTTGCTATAACTTGAGCGCTTGGACTATATTCTTCACTCTACATGTTTTTGCAATGTCATTATCGGGCAGCTTTATTAGGATGTCTTAATAAAATATATCATCTCAATCAAGAAAAAAACCAACAGCAAAAAACCACATAGATCAACTTAACTAAAATGAATGTAATAATTAATTCAGCTATGGAACATGAAGCTGAACCTTCTTCAATGTTCGACAAATTTCTGTAAAATCTCCAGGAGCAATCCTTTTAGTAGAAGCAAGTTTGGTCAACTCTGAAACTGCTTCTTTTCGCTCAGACCACTTAGAAGCTTTCTGAAATACAAATAAATTCAAACCACCATATTGTCAGTGATGCAAAACCACGAAACACAACAATGATAGTATACCAGACATAATATATCATACATTGATAATTACTGGACTACATCATAGACATGAAAGAGAGCACTCACCACTCCATCCCAAAATCCTGACTTCTCCAGAGGTGTCAATATATCGACTGGATCAACAAGTTCATACTCATCTATCACCTCTGGAACTGGTAGAAAACATGAATGTCAGACCCAAAAAGGTAGATTTTACAGAGCCTGCCATGACTATAGCATTATGATTGCCTAACAAGATACGTATAGCTAGCGAGCTTAAGATGAATGCATCCTAAATCTATTCAACCAACAGAAAGAAATATCATAGATTCAACTAAGAAAATTCTTACTGTCAGCAGAAGGTTCTTCAGAGGGGCCAGTTCGCACAACTTCAGAAACGGCTTCCTGTTCTGGTTCCTTGTCTTGCTCAGATCTAATAAATGTCCAAAAGACAAATTACCTAACTGTAGATGACTAAACTTGTAGAAATAAATGTGTACCTCTCTAAAAGCTTAAGCTTTCAGATAAGACGATTCAACATGTACTAAACTAGGCAGAGGTAATGAGTTCAATTAGGCCGCAGCGCATATAAGAAAATTGTGCATATGTCATGCCTTCTGTGAGAAAATAATCCAACCACTGCCAGTATTGAGGGAGCATGTTGAAAACTAAGTTTAAATACAAAAATGTGCCACCTCTCTATCACTTGAGCTTTTAAATTTAAATAAATAAACGTATTCCCTCTCTAACATCTTAACTTTTTAGATGAGATGGTTATTATTCAACGGGTCATATACAACAAGGTAACCTGTCCATATACACCTAGGTTACACTTATATGGATCAAGCTAAAGTCGATGATGTTTTACTCAATAGGACTCAACCTCCAAGAGCAGAAGCCACGCTGTTTGTGTGAGTGCTTTTTAATGATCTACTAGAAATTAAAGGCTTTAGTCTCCACTCCCTCAACTGAAGAAAAATTAGTCACAAGTTTCTTTCAACTCTGGATTTCAAAAATGATGTGAAGGCACCCATTTATAAGTGAAAAGTCTAATCATTTGAGACTCCAATTCAACTTCAAAACATCCATCCAGAAAAAAAGGATTATTAAAAGCAATCAAACTTGTTTGGGGTGAGAATTTGAAAGTTCAGTTGAACAAAGTCAAGCCCAAGATGGAAACATCAGAGGGGGCAAGGTGAAGAAAAACAAAGAACATCAAAGTTTAAGTCCCTTATATTTAAATAACACTCTCCTCGATCACACTGCATATACAATAAATCAAGCATCCATTTAATAAACATTAGAAAATGTTAAGAGACTTTTCCCACAGATCACAAACACAAATAAGTATGCTATGGAAAATAAAGAAATTTTCAAATATCTAAACCAATAAAAAGTAAAGGCTAAATCACACCATACGGCCAGAGCAGATGAATAAAAAGGAAACATTTTCTATACAGTTATGCTGTTAAAGACCAAACAGATTCCATAAATTGGATCCAAGATAGGAGAAGAAAAGCAAATCTTCACCTTATTTTGCGAATCGGCTTTGCAGTCCCCGTGACATTGACAAGTTCAGCTTCCAACTCTTTTTTCTTAAAACGAAAAAAGGTCAAACAATAAAAGATTTAACCAAAATTTACGATAAGTACGAGAGACAAGAATTCAGCCCAATGTATGAACATACCATAGTATCTCGCATCTTTTCAAATAATATTGATTTGACAGGATCCTTTCCAATCCAACGACAAAGTTCTAATGTCAGTCCTTTGGAAGAAGCACGAACATTCTGATCTTGATGATCAAAAAGTTCAGGAAGCATCTTCAATATCCTTTTTGGTGGCACTATCTTTGACCCAAATTCACTGAATCATTATTGTCCACCCATACTCATTATTATGCAGGATAACAAAGTAACAATAAATCATATATATATATATATAGTAACAGCAATTAGTTCCGAACCTTAAAGCCTGAAACATGACATCTATTGCAGGAACAACTGCCTTGGCAACTTTATTTTTTATTGCTTTCTCCATAGCATCCTAGTCAGGAAAATCATATTAGAGAAATATGCCTTATTTAACGAGCCTAAACTTAAATTTCTTTGATGTAAATAGCACAACTAAACATAATTTTAGAATGGAAACATTCAAGGGAGCAGTAGATATAAAATTGCTATTGGATCACAACACAAAGCCAGTAGAATAGATACTAACAATTGGTTTACATGAAATTGAAAATGCATAAGCATTCTAGTAGCAGAGGAGCCCATCTCACTCTGCACTCTTTCCAACTTTTCTTAATTGTAAGCTCATTATTTCGATGGCAGAATAAAGTTGCAAACCGAAACCTCAAAAAGGTAAGAATTACTGAGTGATTCAGAACCAACCACATAAAATGGCAAATCCCAACACAGTTGACTTAATTTCTTAGCACACTGGTCTTAATTCTATACATTCACAAATAAATTTCACTTCTTTTGAGCTCAGAGCATTAATAAGCCACTTCATACCTTATAGGTTCAGAAGGCTCATTTACACTCTTCTCAACCAGCAATCCTTCAACAGTTAGATTCACATAATTCAACAATATCATAATTTAACATACAGCAAGCACTTCAAGCCAAATTGAGAAATGCATCACTTATAGAAATCATCTTATGACCATTTAAGTGAGACATTGTTTAATTGCTCAATTAATCAGATAAAATTTAATAATGCCAAGTAAGCCACATCATAGCTAAATTGCAGAGCAGAGCACATCATTGCACTGATAGACTAAATTTCTGCATTGTTGAATATAAAACGTACTAAGAAAGTCTCAACAGCCTCCAACTCTACCCACAGCATAAAAGCTGCTTGCGCCTTCTCCACTGTTTTCGGCCTCCCTGTTAAACATTTGGCCACTATCGCATCACATACTTCTTTGGCATATCTGAACCCACAAACAAGCAAAACAAAATTCAGCTTTAACGTGCAAAACGTAAATTAAATAGATGAAACCTAAACAAGCACTGGGAAAAAAGAAATACCTCCCGGCATCGGCATCAGCAGCTTTTAAGTATGCAATGAGTGCATCCAGAGCCTTCTCTTGAACCGGCGCATTCGAATCCGCCACTGTTTTCTTAAAAAATTGACCTAATAGTTTTTCAAAATTAGAAAAAGGAGAGAAAGATCCGGGATCTACCAACAAAACGTTCACATGACATCTATTTTCACACAAATACCAATGCTAATAATTTCAAAAAATAAAAAAAACAGATCTAAACCAAAAAGTAAAACAAAATTCTACCATATTCACGGAGGCGATTGTCCTTGGGATCCGTGATGGAGTCGCAAACGGCGGCCAAATCAATGTTTGCATCATTCCGTACTTTCCAGTTTTTGTGCATCAAACGATCTTCCCATGGCAATTTCTTCGCCTCCTTCAACAATTTCTCATCCTCCGACATCTCTATTTACAAATAAATATAAATGCCTATCTCTGTATAAATCTAACGCTTATGTATCTGTAACTGTGCGCAAATGTAGAAATTGAGATAAGGAAGGTAGAAACGTCGTCGTCTAAAGCGGATGTTGTATGTTTTTTTGAATTTTAATATTCTCTCTCTCTCTCTCCTCTTGACGGTTGCCGGCGATGAACAAGTGAGGGTTGGACACAGTGGGCATATAATATTGCTATAGCTAGATTTGGGAAAAATTCACAGGAGATCACCAAACTTATAGATTTATTTCACGTTAGACCTAAGTTTATTGGACTTTGAAGTGGACAAAAATTGAAATATGTAGTTGAAAATTTGATAGAACTTTTGAATTCCATGAAATGTTTGGTTGAAAATTAATTTGAAAACAAAAATAAATTTTTAGTAATGGAGAACAGACATGGGCTAAATTAGCATTTTTTTTCAACTATGTAAAAAGTAAGATGAATCGACTGAGTGTCTTAGTCTTATTTTTGTTACAAATTAATTTTTTTAGTAAATTTTGATAGTATCGATAAAATGTGGTTTAAAAGTTAATAAAAAATTATGAGTACAGTGAAAAATGTAGTTAAAAAATTGATAAAATTTATGGATGGTTAAAAACAAACTTGAGAAAAATTTGAGCAACGGAGTGCTTAAGTTATATTTATAAAACTCACATGTACAAGTGAATTCCAAAACCTGAATTTGCATTCATGTGATTTTATTTTAACTTTATTAAAAACTAATAGCTCACTTAGCACCAAACGAGCATTAGGTGACCATTCACGTTGTTTAGAATATATTTTGTAAAAGATTATTTGGAGAATGTGTAATTATAAAGTAGAAAAATATTTTGGACTTACGTGACATATTATTTTAATGAAAATGTATGATTGGAAATAAATTTAGGGAAAAATGAATTTTGACAAAATTAAAAATATGGATAATTACAGCAGCAGTACCAAACCTTTTATTTGTATCACCAACGGTACCAAACATTTCAAAAATTAGCATTTGGAGTCTAATATGAGGAATCCGTAAGTTCATCTATTAGTTGACCAAAAGTCAATGGTCACACAAATTTTAACAATTTTTTAAAGGGTAAAATGATCAATTTATATTTTTCATATAAAAGAATTAAAATAATTAAATTAAAAACCAAAAAAATAAAATAAAAATAGTGGGGATGTTGGAATCAGACAGCATCTAGAGTAGACGGTGGGTGGTGAGGATGAGAATACCTCATTTATAGGCGTGGGATGAATGAGAGGTCTTCCGGGATGAGGTCTACGATTGTCCACGATTTTCGGAGAGGAGGTCAACGGTGAACATGGCATCCGAGCCCTGCCCGAACTCTGTGTTTGTGTCTAGGGAAGACTTTTTGAAGAAGGGGAATTTGATGGTGATACCTTGTGGGATTTCGTTAGGGTCCCACATAACAGTGGTGGAAACGTCGCGATGGGCCCATGCGGAGAGCGAGCCAAATATCGCGCTTATGAAGGAGGATGGAGAGAGCAAGATTGTGTCACAGTTCATGATGGAGTTGCAAAGATTGAAGGCTATGGATGGTGACGACCTTCCGAAGATACTGCATTTTAACCCACTAATTAAAGGGGATTGGAGTGATCGGCCAATGATTGAGAAGAACAAATGTTATTAGAGCCTTGTTTGAACCACCTTTTTGTAGAACGAAAATGAAAAATATAACCGTTATTGGGACCCACACAAAAGATATAAATTTTGAATTTAAATGTTGATGTGATGGATAACGGTCATATTTTTCATTTTAATGAGAAAATAAGGTGGCCTAAATGGGGGCCAAATGTAGTGGGGATCTACACAACGGTGTGAAGGGTGGAGGTCCACAGTTGGCAGCGGAAAGAAAGTTCCCGGCCATGATCTCTGAGTGGAAATATATTTTTTTTTTACTCGTGCAAGAAGAAATTGGAAGGGGAAGGTGAATTTTTGTTACTCTTGAATTTCCGATATTGCCTCGGCTGTGGTGGTAGATGGCTGAGGATGGGTGGATTTGATTGTTTTGATGTTACTCTGTGTGTGGCTCGGCGGCAGCGGGCCCGATTGTCCAACGGTGGATGGGTGGATTTGGGGGTGGGGAAGATGGTAAATTCTTTTTCTTTTATTTCTTGGTTACTTTAATTATTTTAAGTCTTTTAGATGAAAAATGTAAATTGATTATTTTACCCTTTAAAAATTAGTCAAAAATTGTGTTGGCTATTGACATTTGGTCAACTAACAGATGAACTAACGAATTCCATCATATTAGACTCCACATGCTAATTTTTGAAAGGTTTTGATCCGTGAGTGATACAAATGAAAGATTTGGGCAAAGTCTGCTACTAAATGAAAGATTTGGTACCGCTGCTACAATTATCCGTTATTTTATATACTTATTTTGTTTGAAAATTTTAATTTTAACTAAAATAAATTGAATAGATAATACACGTAAATTATTGGTCAATAACTAATTACTAAATGAAAGATTTGGTACCGCTGCTGCAATTATCCCTTAAAAAATGTCATGTAATCAAATTATTATAAATCAAAATTCAAGGGATCGATATAGAACAACTCTGTAAGTTGAGTACCTGTATTGAAATTCCCTAGATAGAACTTCTGTCTCTCTCACGCACTAAAAACAGAGGAGAGAGAAAGTGAGAGAGAGGCTAATTTTGGGTTTTACGTTTATGGAGAGAACGAGACCCAAAATCATTGACCAGCGCGTAATATCACCAACAAATAGCAATTCGAAGCGTGGTAGAGTAAACCAATTGTGCGGGGTGTTGACTACAGGATTAAAAGAGGTGCGTGGAAGAGCGTGTTGGATCTGTTGAGGTTGAGCGGTGTAATTTGAATGGGAGTGGACGTGGGTCGTGGGGCAGGTGGAGCGGAAAGAAGACAGAATGCTTGTAAGTTGTAACTTGTAAACATATTTGTAATTCAAATTATGCCGAGGGGTTTAGGCCACGTACAGAAATTCCTATATTTCACCCCATTTTTAAAAAAATTCATTTTTTTAAATATATTTTCAACTAGATATTTTTAAATAAAATAATTTTACACATAAATCAATTTTTTTTCTTTTTTCAATTACATATTCTCTAAAAATCGTTATTTGAAAATACATTATCTTTTCAAAATGGGGCTCAAGCATGGGCTAAATTTTAATAAAAATTAATACAATTGAAAAATAATTAATAACAAAAAATCCCCTAAAAATGTGTGAGATATACTCCCTACATATTGAAAATCACAGAAAATCCCACTATTTGAAATTTGTTGTGTCAAAAATCCCATACCGTCGAGATCCGTCAGATTTGTCGTTAAAAATAATAAAAAATGCCAAAATTAAAAATGAATCATTGCAATTTCAATACCCACACTTTATTTTTTAACAAATTAAATTCAAATTTTTTATTTGTGCCACCTACAGTCCCAAATTTTTAAAACTTTATTTTCTACTCCACCCCATATTCTTCCCCAATTTTCTTTCTTTTGAACCTCTCTCTATACTCTAATTCTCAACATCATACGCCACTTTTGGTTGCTTTCAACTCTTTTTTCTCTCGTCATCCTTCATATTATTTCATAACATATACCCAATGGAGGAATAGTATAGGAAGTCTTGTTTGGCTTGTGTTTTATTTTAGAATTTGCCTTGAAATTTGTGTCGTATAAAGAGATACCGTATACTCTACTACTGTTGTTGGAGCTTTTGGGCGATAATTTTTGGGGTTTTAACGACATGTTTGTATCTACATTTCTCTCACAAATCAAAAATTAGTGGATTTTTAATAAAAATATTAAATGGGTCTTCTCTTCTTCGTTTATTTTGGATTTTTCATTAACAAGATACCTATTTCTTGGTAGGGATGGCGATGAAGAGGGTCGGGTCGGGGTAATTTCTCACCCCATTACCCGTATAAGGCGGGACGGGCAGGCTCTTGCCTCGTTTACTTTTTTTTTATTAATTTAGTAATTCAATTTTTTATAATTCATTTTATTACTCCATTCAATAAAGTAAAACAATAATATATTTATTAATTTTTATTAGTTAAGTTATTCAAATATATTTGGTAAATTAAAATTTTTATTGTTCGTCATATTCCTTAGATAATCTTAGTTGTCACCTTCTATTAGAAATAATGAAATTTTCTATTAAAAATATTGAATACTTAAAAAAATAAAAATTTAAAATTATAGATTTAATGGGGCGGTGCCTTTGTTAGCCTTGCCTACCTCGAGGCGAAGTCCCTCACCCTGTCCCCGACCTAAGTACACGATTAAACGGGTAATTATCGCCCTGTTCGGGGCTGGCCTACATGTATCGGATTTAACGGATTTTTTTGTCATTCTTATTTCTTAGGTCTTAGTTATTCTTCAACTTGGAATTTCATGGGTTATCTTTTGTTTTCATATGTTTTCTGGCCATTTCTTGAATATTGCATTGTTTTGAAGTTTTACTTTATATTTACAATTACATCATTCAATGAGAAGAAGGTGCAAAGTTCATGAGAGAATTGCGAGAGTCCAAAAAATATAATGATAATTAAAAATAGGAAAAATTCACAAGTCAAACTTTAAATACGAGGCAATTCAATTTTAAGGTTTTAAATTTTAAAATTCAAAACTCAAGTATTAATTAAATATATTAATGTCACAATTATACAATCAATGGTCATGAGTGCATACTTATAGGTCTCAATGTCACACATTATCAAATTAATTGGTTACGGATTATGTCATCGGTCACAAATCAAAAAAATTATAGGTCACAATTTATTTGTCGATTACAAATTTTCAAATTAGTTGGTTATAAATTATCAAATTTTTAGGTCACAATTAAATAACTAGTCACAGATAACCAAATAGTTAGTCACATACACCAAATAATGGGTTACATACCACCACAATCAACACTACCACCACCACGGCTACTTGCGACCACCCTCACCTCGCCCCAGTTGCCTTCTCCACAATAAGAACACAACAGTATCATCACCAACACCACAACACCAATACCAACAAAACTACCATAACCACCACTATAACACTCTACCACAACTATCACTATCGCACCATCACCATCACCACAACCACTAACAACCCAACAATCAAGCAAATCACCAATGATCAAAACAACCAAAAAAAATATGTAACCAATCGCTATTGCACAGTGCCGCCATCTTCGACAGTAGGTGGAGCGGTTTTGTGGGGGTGGTAATCAACGTGATTGTCCGATAGTGAGAGAAAGTGAGAAGAGAAAATGTGTGCGGCAGCGATCTTCAATGATCTACGTGTCACCGCTGTGAATTGGTGCTCAGCGTGATGCTTAGGGTGAGAAAGAATGAGAAGAGAAAGTGTGTGTGTGGAGGCGGTCTCCGACAGTAGGTGTGTCGGCGTCGTGTGTGTGACAACGATCTCCAACAATAGGTGAGTCCTTGTTGTCGTCGTCGGATTAAGGAGTGTGTGGATAGGTGGGAAGAGTGAGAAGATGGAAGATGGAGAGCGAGAGTGAGAATATAATGAAATAAATTTTAGGGTTTGAGACTGAATTGGGTTGAGATATTTAATATTTAATTATTATATTAATACCCGATATGTGAACAAATAAAACTTATAGCTGATTTATGAACGGTAATCTTTAAATGCCTACTAGCATGTAATTTCCACTTAAAAAATAAGGATGGATAACTATGACTTCAAGTTAGAATATTTTTTTCTATCATAACCCACATCCCCTCCCAATAAAACACAACCCAAGAAGGAGGAGGAAACATTGAGTGGAGAGAGTAAAAAATTCAAACGTTTAAATTTAGAAAAATGCTATTCATCCCCACTGGGGATGCATTTTCAGTCTATGTGGCGTTAATGTGGCATTAAATGATAGGTGAAATTAAATAAGTCATTTAATTTCACCTATCATTTAACAAATCATTTACATCCACATAGAGTGTGGATACATCCCCATTGGGGATGAATAGCATTTTTCCTAAATTTAAAATCTGGAGGTGAAGCAAAGACCACAACAACCTACTTTGAAGGTTGCAATGTTCTTGAATATTGCGATGTTATCTTGTAAGGTTTTTTTTTTTTCTTTTATTTTTTTAAATTTTTAGGGAAGAAGAAGTGTGGTGGAATAGAAAATAAAGTTATTAAGATTTGAGATTGTAGGTGATATATAAAAATTTTGGATTTAATTTGTAAAAATAAAAAAAAATTGGTACTGATATTGCAATTATTATTTTTTACTTTTGGCATTTTTTTATTATTTTTAACGGCAAATTTGATAGATCTTGATGAAGGTTTTTCGCACAAAATGTTTCAAACATAGGGTTTCTGCGATTTTCAATGGATGTGGTTGATATCACACATGAAAATGCTTCTAGGGGGCTTTATGCTATTAATTCAATTGAAAAATCATAAATTTTCCTAAAATATGTGATAAAATTTAATTATTGATTTTGACTAATATTTTGATTATTTTTTTCAACTAAACCAACTGTTTAGATAAAAATTAAAGGCTTATTAGCACAAAACGTCCATATGTTTGATCGTCAGTCTGCAAAACGTCCATGCATTTAAATTTTTGCATTTTCACCCTTATTTCAACGTTTTATTGTGGAAAACGTCATTTCATCGATTTTTATCCAAGTTCTCAATTAAATTACAAAATGACAAATATACCCTTATATTTAAATAAAACAAAACGGAAATAGATGAAAAATAAAGAACAAATTATAATCATACTTTCAATTTTATAAAAAAAAATACAAATAAGTTCCAAATAAATTAAATTAAAAAATCGAAAAAGAAAAGAAAAATTATCTTCTTTCCCTCTCTTCAACCCACCAAGCAAAGCAACCCTTCACCAAACCCAGGGTCACCACCACCTCCGCCACCATTTTGTTCAATTTATAAAACCAATGTGTTTTGCGAGTTCCCAATCAGGGTCATATTTTGACATTAGAACAACACAAGCACCACAACCACTTGCAATAATTCAAAATTTTAAACAAGATTGTGTGTTCTTTTATTCCAAATTCTAAATCGCCCCAATCTCATTAAGAATTGGGGTTTCATCTTAAAATGTCGATTTTATTATGAGGAGTAGTAAAAAATCTTATAAATTGATTTATGTTTTCATCATTATTCGATGTGAGATTTTATCCCTTAACATGCCCCCACAAGATGGTGGCACGTTTGAGCAAACCAATTTTGAAATCCGAGTGCTCAATTTTTTTGTAGTCTTAATCAGATCGATCCCACAAGATGATGACTCGTTTGAACAAACCAATCTTGAAATCCGTGTGCTCAATTTTTTTGAGTTTTAATTGGATCGAATTGCTCGTTGGATTTTAACGGACTCTGATACCATGTTAAGAATTAGGATTCCATCTTAAAATGTCAATCTTACTAAGAGAAGTAGCCAAAACTCTTATAAATTAATATATGTTTTCATCATTATTCGATGTGAGATTTTATCCCTTTAACATCTCTTACTCCAATTCCCAGAGAATTTTTCAATTTCTGAATAGCGAATATTTAAACATTAAAATAAAACACGCTCCAAAAAACATATGTAAATGAACACAGATGCCTGCTTTCACCGCAGCCAAGCTTGACACTCTTGAAATGGGTACAAGAGCTCAAGAACTCGAACAGAGTAGTGGAAGGATCAAGATTTGGGACTTCAAGTTTCTCTCCATTTACCCCTTTGCCGGTGTTAAGGTCTCAAATTTTGCTGACCACTGCATGATGTGTTGATCGTAGAACAAAAAAAAAAAAAAAAAATATAAAGGATCTTAACATGCCCCCACAAGATGATGGCTCGTTTGAACAGACCAATCTTGAAATCCGTGTGCTCAATTTTTTTGAGTTTTAATTGGATCGAATTGCTCGTTGGATTTTAACGGACTCTAATACCATGTTAAGAATTAGGATTCCATCTTAAAATGTCAATCTTACTAAGAGAAGTAGCACAAACTCTTATAAATTAATATATGTTTTCATCATTATTCGATGTGAGAATTTATCCCTTTAACATCTCTTACTCCAATTCCCAGAGAATTTTACAATTTCTGAATAGCGAATATTTAAACATTAAAATAAAACACGCTCCAAAAAACATATGTAAATGAACACAGATGCCTGCTTTCACCGCAGGCAAGCTTGACACTCTTGAAATGGGTACAAGAGCGCAAGAACTCGAACAGAGTAGTGGAAGGATCAAGATTTGGGACTTCAAGTTTCTCTCCATTTACCCATTTGCCGGTGTTAAGGTCTCCATTTTTGCTGACCACTGCAAGTTGTGTTGATCGTAGAACAAAAAAAAAAAAACTTAAATAGGATATAATCTAAGGGAATCCAAATTCTAAGACCGAGTAAACAAATATAAACTGCAGCAATAAAGGTGGAGTAAGTAGAGTAAAGCAATCTTCACTTGTTCAATGAGAAAAATGGTGGCCGTGGCTGTGGGTTTTGCAAAAATTACACATTTATAAACTGTGACTGTAATTCATTGTATTACGGAGAATAGAATTGTTCTTTAACACTGTGAAAACTGGAATTTTCGATTTTATTTCCAAAGAGAGATTATACGTGTGTTTTTCTTGTTCGTTGGAGTAAAACGAGAGAGATTTTGGAGAAGGAAACGGTGGCGGTGGCGGCGGCGGCCGTGGGTTAGGTGACGGGTGGCTTTCGTGGGGATGAAAGCGGGACAGAAAATATGTAATCATCATATGAAAATTAAGTTGTCTGAAAATAAAATTATTTTTTTATTATATTGTCAAATTAATTAGAAAATATGCACTAAATATTTTTTGATTAAAGATGTATTTGATTGATGAATAGAGTTTTAGAAGCATAATGAACAAATCTACTTTTTTTTTTTTTTTTGAAATGAAACTAGTTTCATTGCACATCGCAATAGCTAACGGTACAC